TAATACATATAAAATACTATGTAATTGTTTATACAAATCCTTACAAAAAATGTTAATTATATAGTAAAAGATTGCACCACTATTCTTTTCGCTAGAGACTGTATATATCTTAAATAAAAATATTATAAATATATAAAATCTTAAAAAAAAGTAAAAAAATACTTTATATTAAATTATGAATTATTTTGAAATATATCAAAAAAAATATAAATAATAAAATATAATTAAATTTAAAATATATAAAACTATAATGTGTTTTAATAATTTAAAAGCTAAATATAAAATTAAATTATAAAAATTTAATTTAATTATGATACTAAAATATTAAAAAATTTGATAAAGTAAATAGATTATATAATTTTTAAAAATTAATAGTTATCTTTCTACAATAGTAATAATAAATAAAGTTTTTAATTTTATCAAAAATATTTTATATATTTATTATATTAATATTTAGTAAAAGATTATTAATAATGCAAATAATATAATGATACATTTTATTTTTTTTTAAATATGATTTTATAGTATGTATAAAATTTAAAAAAATCACATTTGAAACCATATAAAGGTATAGTGTAATTTCAAAATTTTAATCTAATTCTTAAAAGTAAATTTGATACTAATTGAATAACCACCAGAAGTTGGAACCGGATGTATCAATCCGGTTTAAACCGATTCTTTGCTCATAAATAAATCATAGGCATAAATTTAGTTCACAACAAACTATTCTTTTATTTTGTATTTGTTTTTATATTGGGCTAACGTTAAGTTTTCTGGAGATGAATGAGGCTTCTGCATTTTTCTAATTTCTCTTAAAACTAATATTTTTGTGTCGGTTGCACTATGCCGATCATAACATTTCTTTACATCCAAAAAATGTAGAACATCATAAAATATTTCGCAAAAGATTACATTGGTTTGCTGAACACTTTTCATCAAATTAGCAAGCAATTTAATTTAAAATTTAATACAGATTGATAATTATATTGCATAAAGACTTTAATTAGGATAAAAACAAAAAAAAAAAATCTTCAATATTAAAAAATAAATCTAATCGAATAAATTATTTCTTTTTCCTAACATTATAAATTCAAAAAAAAAGTTTATTCTTTGATAAAAGATGCATTTTTTTTTTTTTTTTTTGGTTTTACAAAGTTTTAAATTAGTAAAATAAAATATTAAATACAGTATACCTTTTTATATTTCCAATAGAAAATTGCCCAAAATTAGTAATAATGATAGAATTGCTTATAGTCTAATCTCGATTTAGCGAAATCGTTGATCTGGAATAAAGTTCGGTACAGGGTATCACGACCTCTTCATTACTTGGGCTTGTGAAAAATCGCCAGTTTATCGGAATTACTATACCAATTCTGGGAAGCATCTTATTAAAAAAAAAATCCTTCAAAAAACTTTATCATAGAATTGCTTTTTTTTTTTTTTATCCAAATTCATTTTCCTATCAGTTTTGATCTTTGCGAATTCTATACTCCGAAATTGTAACCATTTAAACCATTTAAAAAAAAAATTATGTACCTCGTGGTGTGTGATAGCATTTAGTTACACAATGTCTACGAGCAAAGTTCAATCTTCAAACGTATACATATAAACATATATGCTATCTATCAGATTTCTTCATTAAAAATAATGGTTGAATTACTTATCTCCATATCTTTGGTATTTTCCCTCCCTATCAGTATAATATGCACATGAAAGAGCATATGATCACTAGTATAAATTTTATTCGGAAAATATATTAAATATAGAAAAAAGGATCGAACACAAATCGTGGACAATATATTGGGTTAGTGATTTTTAAAAGTTCTTATCTGCCATTTGATACTTAATGATACACTTCTCATTAGATAAGAACATATATATAATACCTTCATTCACCTTGTAAACTAAAAAAAAAAAGTAAACCCTTTTTCTTTTTTTTTTGCAAATTAAAACCAACTCGTTTTTTTCAAAAAAAAAAAAAAAAAATGCCTTCATTTGTCGAAATTAATAATTCAAAATTTCATTTCTCTAGACTTGATATTATAAAAGGTGTTGAGCAACTAGACAAGAAATTCGTTGGTAATTATTAATCATGTATCTCTACTATGATAAAGTAATTTTCAATTTTCCAAAATTTTTTTTTTCTTTTTTCTTTATAAAAAAAATTTAGATTTGGCAAGTTCTAATTTGGGAGGAAAGATAATTGAATGCAGCGATGAATTTTTTGCTGAAGCATCCAATTTACTTAAACCCCATAAACCTGTCAGAAAACCTGGAAAATATACCGGTAAACAAAAAGAACCGTTACACACAATTTTGTCTTAATATATATGTCTTTTTTTTATTGATTTCCAATTGTATTTAAATCAAGAACGTGGATCATGGATGGACGGATGGGAGTCTAAACGACACAACCCCTTTCACGATTGGTAAGAATCGGTTTATTTAATCAACTTCTAATTTCAAAAATTTTGTCCCCAAATCAAAAAGTAATTTGTATTATTTGTCACAGGGTCGTGATTAAATTGGGTTTCGAAGGGCATATAACAGGATTTGATATCGACACTTCGTATTTTGAAGGAAATCAAGCTCCAATGGCCGATGTTGAAGCTTGTTTTTCTCCCAATCATGATCTTGATAATAACACTAACGTAAGTTAAATTTTTATTATAAAAATATATATATATATATATATATATTTATTTATTTATTTATTTCTTTTATTTCTTTTTAGTGGCATAAAATTTTGCCTAAAGTTGATTTAGGCCCAAATTCTCAACATTTTTTTGAGATACAAAAAACTACCATGAAATTTACCCACGTTAGATTAAATATTTATCCCGATGGTGGTGTCGCACGATTTAGAGTATACGGAATTGTAAGCGCAAGATGGCCAAAAGATCACTCAACACCAGTAGACTTGGCCTACGCGGGTAACGAAGGTCGAATCATTTCTTATAGTGATCAACATTACGGTAAATCGGATAATATTTTATTGCCAGGTCGTGGAAAAGACATGAGTGACGGATGGGAAACACGACGTTCTCGTCAACCTAATCATAATGATTGGATAATAATCAAATTGGGATGTCCAGGTTATTTGGAAAAAGCTGAAGTGGATACAGCATTCTTTAAAGGGAATTATCCCGATAGAGTTTTACTTGAAGGTTGTTTTTGTAATAACGATGTGTTGTTAGAGGATGGTGGTTCAAATGTGGATTGGGATATTATTTTAGAAAAAAGCAAACTTGGACCTCATAAGCAACATTATTTTGACTTGAAGAAGAAATATAAAAAATTTTCGCACGTTAAAATGACGATATTTCCTGGTAAGTTTAGAGATGCTACGTGTTTTTTTTCCTTCCTAAATCATATATAAAATTTTTAACATTTTCTAGATGGTGGAGTTAAGCGATTGAGAATTATTGGGAGGAGAGAACTAACTGACAAAGTGGATGATAATTTTGTAAAAAGCGAGTTATCCGAGACGACTCATTCATCAGTTGTACATATCGTTGCCACCCCATTAACTTATGCCTCCTTTTCACCATATGGAAATATAATTCAATCATTTCCCGAACAAACTTCTACTCAAAATTCCTTTTCAATAACTCATGGTATTAAAGTAACGCCTGCTAATCAAGGGACCGCACGTAAATACAATCATGTTGCTTCCGTCATAAATTATCGTCAATCAAATATTCTACTTAACAAAGATCAATCGAGTGATAAAACGCGGGTAATTGCTAAAGCTGTGCCTAATTTAAGTTTATATAAATGTTCGCCTGTAAAATCGCTTCCGTTTACTGTACGTTTATTGGAAAGGCATCCCTATTCGTCGCAAACGTTTTTACCCTTGAGTGATGGTAAAGTTAAAGGATATTTGGTTGTGGTATGTTTAAATAATGACGTTGGTGAACCAGATTTGAGCACCCTTAAAGCATTTGTCGCGTCAAGCATCCAAGGAATTAATTATCATCCCGGTATTTGGCATCATCCTATGATTGCTTTAGAAAAAGTAAGCTTCCTTTTTTTTTTTTATTCATTTTTGTAAGATTTCAGAGATCGAATTTGTTTGAATTTGTTGAATAATTATGTGTGTATAAAATATTTATTTATTCACTCCTAGACTACGGAATTTGCATGTTTAACGCATGAATCAGGAATTGCCAATGAAGATTGTGAAGAAATTGAATTTGAGGAAAAAGATTTTGTCGTAGTTAATGTTCCAGGATTTCACTAATAAAAATTTATTTAGGTTTTTTGAGGATTTTATGTAATATAATATTACTTCTTTTTTTTAAAACGTTCATTTATATAAATAAGCTTTTGTCAATTGTAGTAGTCAAAAGGTTACTTGTATTTTCATATAATTAAAATTTCTAATGTTTTTGATCAAATAACATGTTCCGAAAATTTCGCTAAATGATGTGCAAGAAGAATGAAAATGAATTAAAATTTTGATAAATGTTATATCATTCGAAAATATTAAGCAGTTCGCAGTAATTAGAATACGTGAGACCTCATGTATCACGTAATTTCGTTCACAAAAAATTTTTGACGTATTAAATTTCTCTCTATAAACTCGGGACAATTTAAAATGCTTTGGGACATTTCGAGTCGGACTGGTTCATTTGTTTTGATATCCGAAAAATCAAGTAATAAAAATTATACACCTATATTTTTATGTGTGTATGTTTAATTTGAAATCATCTTTTTTAAAGTTTTATATTAAATTAAAAAGTGCGGGATATTCGTGAAACGGCATTTTCTTTTGATTACAATTTTCTGATTGGTTAAGAATTGATCGAAATCATAACGCGTTTTTGATTTATATAAGCTGGGTCTCTTTATTCTCACTCTTCAAAATTAATTAAATAATATAAATAAAACATTATTAAACAAAATGAATCACGAACTAAACGAAGATACTAATGAGGAGGAGACATGTGAAGAAGAAACTTCCTGTTATACACCAATTCAAAAACTTGAGGTTGTCAAACGCGATAATACTTTTAACGTGTACACTGTATTCTCTCCATTCTCTCCATTCTCTCCCATCTTAACCTTTTATCTTAACGTGACCTTTCATTTTATCCTTCCATAGGAATTTGGTATTAACGCGTCGGACATTAAAAAACTTACAGAGAGCGGTTTTCATACGGTTCAATCTGTAGCGTTTTCTCCACGAAAAGTTTTGCTAAACATTAAAGGAATTTCAGAAGCCAAAGTAGATAAAATTCAAGGAGAAGGTTCAAGATCATAATTTAAATATTCTCGATCGTTGTTTGATGTTTAAAAAGATTAATGAGTTGCTTTTGATTTTCATAGCCTACAAGCTATCACCAATGGGTTTTCTCACAGCAACAGAAATCCAGGCAAAAAGACGCGATAACCTTTTTATAACGACGGGATCAAAAGAGTTGGATAAACTTCTTGGAGGTAATATTATAATTTAATTATGATTTCAGCTGATGTTTTATAAATAATTAATCTTCTTTCTTTGGACAATTTAGGTGGTATTGAAACTGGATCAATCACTGAAATATTTGGGGAGTTTAGGACTGGAAAGTCTCAAATTTGTCATACATTATCTGTAGCATGTCAGGTAAGAATTTCTTTGATCTAATATTTTTCATGATCTAAAAACGAATATAATGTAATGTAATTAATTGTTATTATTATAATTATTATTTGCGAACCAAGCTTCCCATTGAATATAACGGTGCCGAGGGAAGATGCATCTATATCGACACTGAAGGTACTTTCCGTCCTGAAAGATTGGTGGCCATGGCAGAAAGATTCGGATTGGTCGGTGATGAAACTTTGGACAATGTAGCTATTGCGAGAGCTTATAATACTGATCATCAGATGAATCTTTTGGTACATGCCGCTGGCATGATGGCGGAATCGAGGTATGATAAAGGAAATTTTTTATTTTATTTTATAATATAATACATTAATCCTGAATTTAAACGTTCTCGCTACTTTAAAAATTAGATTTGCTTTGTTAATTGTCGATAGTGTTACAGCGTTATACAGAACAGATTTCTCTGGTCGTGGGGAACTTGCTGCGCGTCAAATGCATTTGGCCAAATTCTTGCGATATCTTCAGCGTTTAGCTGATGAGGTATTAATTTATTAATTTGCAAATCACATAATATAAATTTGTTTCTGATAATATTTTTTTTTAAAAAAAAAAAAAAAGTTCGGAATTGCTGTTGTTATAACAAATCAAGTTGTAGCCAGTGTTGACGGTGCTGCTAGCATGTTTGGTGGTGATACAAAGAAACCCATTGGAGGAAATATTATTGCCCACACTTCCACCACAAGGTAATCGATAAATTCTTTTAATTTGAACCTTACAATGCTAATCTAATAATACTGACATTAATTTTGGTCTAGGCTTTATTTGCGTAAAGGTAAGGGTGAAAATCGGATTTGTAAAATCTACGATTCTCCCTGTCTGCCTGAAGGCGATGCAGCCTTTGCTATTTCAGAAGGTGGTATTGTTGATGCAAAGGACTAAGTAATTGGGAGATTGGATATATCTAATGGATTTTAATGGAAGATACTTGTATATTAACTAGAACTATCTATATAGTCTTGGAAATTTTTTTAATTTTTTATTCTAATTGAAAAAACTGATATATTTGAGTGACTATAATACATCTTAAAACAAAAATTTTATTTTATGAACAAAATAATGTAACTTTTGAAAAGAATTATTAATTCAAAAAAAAAAAAAAAATTGATTTAATTACGATTTGATAGATGCGCTTCAACGTATAAGTTTGTTGTGCACAGGAGTTATACCGTGCGCATTTTCTTTTTTTTGACATGTCCGAACCTGATAGGTCCATTTCCAGATTTATATCATCCGAAGAGAATACTGAAGGTTTGCCTATCGGAGGTCCCACTCGCACATTGACCTTTTCGTGCATGTACCACTAGTACCCAGGTTTGACCCCAGGCTAGTTTTGCATAGAATTTAACTGTCAAATTTGGATAGAGTGATCACTTTCAGTCAATAGGATTGTCAGGATCAGAATTCGCTACAACCTTTACCGTTATCGGGGAGACCTCGAAACAACCTTACAAGACTTATGCCCTGGGAGGTTACCATCAACCTATATAGAACTCAGAAAGGTAGATGACTGTCATACCCATATCGTCAAATTCACCCCTGGTCTTTAACCCTAGTGATAGCGCGATTGGATTGATATTGATAATGCGGCATTTCCTTACATACATCTCCTTATGAGATAAGGCCCCTGCCATTTGAGAACGTAAGACAGTATATTGCAAATAATTGATACAGTATATAGTGACCGGGGATCCATAAATTTTATTTCGATTCAAAATTCGATTTGACTAAAAATTTCGATACAAAATTATGGCTAAAATTAATATTAAGTATGTAATTCTAGCCGGAATTAAGAATAAAATTCCAAAAATGTTATTTATTTCATATAATTGTAGAATTAACAAAGATTACATGCTGTTAAAATACAAAGTATTACGCATCTGAAGAATCTTGACTCAAATTTTCTCTACCTTTACAAGATAGAAAGAAGAAATAGTTATCCAAATATAGTTTAAAGCAATTTGACTTGAAAAGTGGTAAATGATTATGTAAAACCTTTTTCCAAAATTTCTTCAAAGTTTGAGTATTCAAATTAAAATTACAATTGTATGAAGAGTTTGTGAATTCAATTATCAAACTTCTATAAAAAAAAAAAATAACATAATTTGAGGTAAGAATTAGAAATTTTGGATTAAATATTTGTGTTATTTTAAAAAATGTATAACATAAGATATTTAGATGAAATAATTTAGATGCAAAATTAAGTTAAAGATTTATCAAAGTTTTTCATTGTTAATATAAATATTTAATTGTTCTAATTATCCCTTAATAAAAGGAAATAAAAATTTTCTTACTAAAAAATGTTTAAATTATTTATAAACTTTTAATATAGATTTTAATAAAAAAGGCAAATTTAAATACAACTATTACTAATATATTATTGAAAACTTTTATTAGAAATTTAATTGTTTCATTAGAATCATTTTTTTGTTATTTCAAATAGAAATCTTGAAGATGTTAATAATAATCATTTATATAGAAAACTATGTTACAGTTAATTTTTTAAGATGCTTATAATTAGTATATAAAATTTAAACTAAAAATTATATGTACTAGTTAATAAATTTATTACTAAAATAAGAAAATTATATCAATTTTGTATGTAAACTTACCTTTTTATATATAATTTATCTATTTTTAGTAATAATTTATGCATATTTATATTATATAATATGTGTACACTAAAAATTATATGCACATATACATATTATGCATATAGATTTTATACATAGCTTATAAGTGATAAACAATGTAATAATTTCAAATAGTAAGTAAAAGTTAATTTTATAATTAATTTAGAAGAGTGTCAATCGATAGATGATTTATTTAATAATAATAATAATTGAGTACTGTCTCAATCAATGTTTTATACTATACAAATATGTTAAAGAAATTAAAATAAACTATTTAATAAAAACTATCTCTAAGATACATTATACAAGATACACTATTTAGCTAAAAATTTTTTCTGTATTTATATAAAATTAAATATAAAGAGTTATTAAAATAATAAATAAAATAAATATAATATAATAAATAAATTTTATAATAAAATAAAATAAATAGAAATAATATATTGAATAAATAGCATAGATAATATAAAAGACATTTAAGTAATATTATTTATCTAAACTCATTTTAGATTTAGCAAAATGTTTAAATTATAGTTTAGCTAATTTTTTATTAAGATTTTGATATAGTTTTACATTTTTATAAGCTTTAATATAGTTTTACTTTTTTTAGAATTTTGCAAATTTTTATAATAAAGTTTAATTTAATTTTGCTAAATTTTACCTTTTTCATTTAGACAATTTATAAAACCTCTAAGTTTTGTCTAGCAACCTTATATATAAAATATAAATGATTTTTAGTAATTACTGTCATTTTTTAGATTGTTATCATTAATGTCTTTTTTTATATATATTATTTAAATTCAATAAGTAGTAAATAAAAAAAACATTTGTAAAATTTTGTATATTATATATTGTTGGTTAAAATCAAAAAAAAAATTAGATATATGATAAATTAGTTTAAAATTAACAAATTATTAAATTCAGTTAAAATTTAGCTTAACCAATTAGCATACATTAAAAATCAGCTAAAATTAGAGCTTTGAATCAAGTCAGATCGACCTGTTTATCTAACCTGAACCAATCCGAAAATTCAGATCAAGTCAATAGATTTTCAGGTTGATGTCAGGTCAAGTCAACAAGTCAAACTGAACTAACCTGATCTGATAAAAATTCAGGTCAACTAATCATTTTTCTTGAATAATTTATTATTGTTAAATTAGAAATAACAAAGTTGATTAAATAAATTAATAATTGTTTATTATATTATTATTTATATTAAATATTTTTTTTTTTATAGTTACAATATCTGGTATATAGGAATCTATAAACAGAGTATTTAAGGAGTATTGAAGTGATATTCTTTACACTTAAGAATCTCACAAAATCGTGTTTAGACTTTAGTTCTAGCCAGAACCCGTCCTGTAATACTGGTCTGAAGATTGCCACCTAGGTCGACTCCCCAAGAGCTAACCCTCAGAGTACCTAGACCTTAGAACTACTGTCAAATTTGGATAGAAGGATCACTTTCAGCCACAGGTACTTTTGTCAATTTTCTCTGTTTTTACCAATACCATATCTGGATACTATCACCTCTGCCCGGTATCAGGGTATATTTTTATACATGATCGGGAAGGCTTAGATGTTATCATCTGTATAGAACCTCAGAAAGGTAGGTGACTGTCGTATCTATATCGTTAAATTTACCCAAGAATTGAACCTGGCCTCTACCCCAAGTGACAGCTTGATTGGATGGTTACTGCGGCAGTGTAATGCAGTCTATTATCAACCATAATCACCTTGAGAATATTTTGAGATGTCACCCAATCTACTAATTACTGGTTAATCACTTCCTTACTTGTGTAAGGGCCTCTGAATTTGAAGACGTGAGACAGTACCCATTACAGGCCTATTAGCGTCAGCCAAGTTTCTGTTGATTCCTGGCTTTATTTGCATCCACTTGTTCTGCGAAATTCAGTATTTAGGCATGATTAACGCCAATCGATGGATTGATCGACCAGTTTCTAATGCATATTAGTTTATACGCCTACATATTCAGTTACATATAAAATTCTTATAAAAATTATCTAGTTTTATGCCTCAGCTGAGACTTGAACCTATGGCTATTGCAGTGTAATCTACAATAGGAACTCAGTTATTACCAACTGAACTAGAGACGCCAATCCCCTTTATATTAAATATTTTTTTTTATTTTTTTTTTTTTAAGTTGCAGTATCTGGTATATAGGAATCTGTTAACAGCGTATTAAAGAGTAACTTATGTTAACCTCTACACCTGAGAAACCTACAAAGTCATGACTAGATATATAGTACTAGTAAGAACTCGCCCGATAATACTGGTCTAAAGATTGCTACCTAGGTAGACATCCCCGAGAGTGTACCCTCAGTGCTCTTAGACCTCAGAACTACTGTCAAATTTGGATAGAGGAATCACTTTCAGCCACAAGGTACTTGTGTCCTGTTTTTCTCTTGTTTTTACCAACACTATATTTGGATACTATTACTTCTGCCCGGTATCAGGGTATTTTTACATATGATCAGGAAGGCTTAGATGTTATCATCTGTATAGAACCTCAGAAAGGTAGGTGGCTGTCATACCCATATCATCAAATTCACCTAGGAATCGAACTTGACCTCTACCCCTAATGACAGCTCGATTGGATGATTGCTACAGCAATGCAATGCAGTCTATTATTAACCATTCACCCAATCTACTAATGTACTGGTTAATCACTTCCTTACTTGTGTAAGGGCCCCTGAATTTGAAGACGTGAAACAGTACCCATTACAGGCCTATCAGCGTCAGCTAAGTTTCTATCGATCCCTGGCTTCATTTGCATCCACTTGTTTTTGAAAATTCAGTATTTAGGCATGATCAATGCCGATCGATGGGTCAATCGACCAGTTTCTAATGCATATTAGTATATATGCCCACATATTCAGTTACATATGAAATTCTTACAAAAATCATCTAGTTTTATGCCTCAGCTAAGACCTAAACCTGTGGCTATTGCAGTGTAACCCATAATAGGAGCTCAGTTGTTACTAACTGAACTAGGGGTACCAATCCCTATATTAAATATTTTTTTTTTTTTTTTTTAAAGTTGCAGTATCCAGTACATAGGAATCTGTTAACAGCGTATTTAAGGAGTAACTTATGTTAACCTCTACACCTAAGAAACCCACAAAGTCGTGACTAGACATATAGTACTAGCCA